CTCTACAAATTTTCATTTGAAATGGTTTGTCTGCAGTGGCAGTTGATGCTGATGGTTCACCAGTTACAGTGTCTTGGAGTGGTGATTCAAGAAGAAATGTAATAGTGTGGATGGATCATAGAGCAGTAGAGCAGGCTGAAAGGATCAATTCTTTCAATTCAACTGTTCTACAATACTGTGGTGGATCTCTTTCCCCTGAGATGCAGCCACCGAAGGTATCTAAATAAATGTTTATAATCCCATTGTTATTTTTTGTGATATACATATTTGCATCAGAAAAGGAACCATTTTTCATTTATTTAGTATAAGATATATCTGAAATCTATGATCCTTGGGTTTGAAATTACAAAAAGTTAGAAATGAAAACGGAAAGGAATGATGTAAATTTGCTAAAATAAAACATTTATTCTCATGATCTATCTTCATCATTGAATGTCTATGATTTCTCTCATACAACGAACTCTATGTGATTCTCTTGGTTTGATTTTCTGAGTGGAAAAAATGCTTTTGGATCAAAATAACTGTTCTTTGAGCTCAAATTCTATGTTTTTCAACTGAGAGAAGTGCATGATAAACCTTTTTTTTTTTTGTTCCTTTTTTCGTTTCTAGTTTCTACTTTTTCTGTTCTATAATCTGGTCTTTGACTATTGAAATGAAGTGCATGATATACCTTTTTTTACAGATTCACAGTCATGGAATATGCTATGATACAGATTATTTTTGCAGCTTCTCTGGGTGAAAGAAAATTTACCAGATACATGGTCGATGGTGTTCAGGTGGATGGATTTGAGTGATTGGTTATCATACAGGTAAAGAATCAATCAAACCTCTTGCTTTTGTATAATCCCAAGTCTCGATACCTCTCTTACCTCATTGTCATCGCCTGCATGTTCTAGAGCAACAGGTGATGATACTCGCAGTCTCTGCACCACTGTGTGCAAATGGACCTACCTGGGTCATGCACACATGTCACAGTACAATGAAAAGGATTCTCGAGATATGGAGGCTTGTGGATGGGATGATGATTTCTGGGAGGAAATTGGATTAGCAGATCTTGTTGATGGTCACCATGCCAAAATAGGTCTGGTTGAATTACTTTGGTTTTGAGTGTTTTGATTGATGAAAGACTTAAAATTCCGCCATCATTTTGCACTGACGTGTTCTTGGTGCAGAGCTACCTTCTATGGGGCTTGAACTATTTTTTCCTCTGTGCTCATTGGTTAACAATGTATAATGTCATCAGGAAGAAGTGTAGCATTCCCTGGTCACCCCTTGGGCTCTGGTCTGACTCCAATAGCTGCAAAGGTAAGAAATATTGTACACAAAATTTTGATATGCTATAATGAGGGCAAAGAATAATTGTGCTGTCCCACATTGGTTGGGGAGGAGAACAAACCGTCATTTATAAGGGTGTAGAAACCTTCCCCTAGCAAACGCGTTTTAAAGCCTTAGGGGAAGCCCGAAAGGAAAAACCCAAAAAGGACAATATCTGCTAGCGGTGGATCTGGGTTGTTACAAATGGTAGCCAGACACCGGACGATGTGCCAACATTCTCACTGTTCCCCGAAAGGGGGTAGACACGAGGCGGGGTGCCAGTAAGGACGTTGGGCCCCAAAGGGGGTGGGTTTGGGGGCGGTCGAGGACGCTGGACCCTGAAGGGGGGTGGATTGTGATGTCCCACATTGGTTGGGGAGGAGAACAAACCATCATTTATCAAGGTGTGGAAATCTTTCCCTAGCAAACGCGTTTTAAAGCCTTGAGGGGAAGCCCAAAAGGGAAAGCCCAAAGAGGACAATATCTGCTAGCGGTGGGCCTGAGTCGTTACAATAATCTACTCAGTTAATGAAGTCATTTTAATTTGACGAAATTGTTATTTCTTTTGCTTATCAGGAGCTGGGTTTGGTTGCTGGAATCCCTGTTGGTACTTCATTGATTGATGCTCATGCAGGTGGAGTTGGAGTGATGGAAAGTGTGCAAGATTCTGATTCCAAAGGTTGTGGTTTATCCTATATTCTCTTTTTAATCTTTTTCCTTATTGAATTTCATTTTTTCATATTGAAAATGCATGTTGTAGAGATCGATAAGGAGATGATATTGAATCGTATGGCTTTGGTTTGTGGAACATCTACTTGCCACATGGCTGTCTCAAGGGATAAGCTCTTTATTCCTGGTGTTTGGGGCCCATTTTGGTCAGGTATAATTGAAATTAATTCCATTTTTTTTTTTCTGTTTTTTCATTTTAAATATTTTCCTGTTGAAGGAGAAAAAGAGATGGTGAACTTTGTTCTAACTAGGATAATAAAAAAATGCTTGTACCATCAAAATTTCAATGGATATGTTGTGCGCAAATTATTCCTTGTTCCAAACAATAATGTTTAACTAAAAATATGTGTCAAATTCATCAAATGTAAGCGTTCCTTAGAGTTTCGTTCAAAAATATTGAAAGAAACTTAGTTTTTTCACATAATGATTTAAGTGTTTCCATGATGGTCTTCTTGACAGGGTGAGGTTTTATAGGCACGAGTAAATGATTTTTTTCTTCTTTATTTTATGCTTAGGACAATCTTTAGTGGATATGGTATGATACTAAAATGAAAAAACAACTTTTCTTAACGAGTTAATGTCCTCCTACTGTGGGTTTCTTTGTTTTTGTTTTGTTATCTGTTTTTTACGCGGGCTTTCAAACTACAAAAGAAATTTTGAAAACTAGGAATTTGGCTAAGAATTTGTATTTTATCTATTATTTTTCTGAATGACAGCAATGGTACCTGAGTATTGGCTCACTGAAGGTGGTCAAAGTGCTACTGGTGCTCTACTTGATCACATAATTCAAAATCATGTTGCCTCTCCTCATCTTGCAAATCGTGCTGCTTCACAAAGTAGGGCTTTTTTGTTTCTTATTTTATTTTAATGTTAATCCTGACTACCCTTGTTAAAGTAGGGTATGCTTAATGATAGTGTCTTATCTGTAATTCTTTTGTTTTTTAACCATCCAGATATCTCTGTGTTCGATATTTTGAATAAGTTGTTGGAGGATTTGGTGGTTGATCTGAAGAGTCCATTTCTTGCTGCTTTGACTGAAGATACACATGTACTTCCTGATTTTCATGGAAATAGGTGAATGGATGACTGAAACATTCATTGAGTAATTTTTACAAGAGCATTTTTTGTTCCTTTCCCTTGTATAGATTGTCATGAACTTGATTGCATCATGGATTAGGTCTCCCATTTCGGATCCGAAGTCTAAAGGAGTGATCTATGGCTTAACACTTGACACAAGCGAGCAAGAGCTGGCTATCTTGTACCTTGCCACAGTACAGGCTATTGCATATGGTACACGCCATATTGTGGAGCACTGCAATTCCCATGGTCACAAGGTATGGTGAACTCATCTTTTTTATCCTTGACAAGCGGGATTGGATACTTGCCAATGTTGATTAGTTATCCTTCTTTTCCATCTGACTTCCCTTAATTATGTTTAGTTCTTCCGGCCTTTTATGTCGTGGAGTCATCTACATTTGCTCATGTATTGTGAGATCCTACGTCGGTTGGAGGGAGAAACGAAATATTCCTTATAAGGGTGTGGAAACCTCTTTCTAGTAGACGCGTTTTAAAACCGTGAGGCTTACAACCATACGTAACGGGCCAAAGCGGATATTATCTGCTAGTGGTGGGCTTGGGCTATTACAAATGGTATCAGAGTCAGACACCGAGCGGTGTGTCAACGAGTGTCAGCGAGGACGTTGGCCCCCAAGAGGAGTAGATTGTCAGATCTCACATCGGTTGACTGGAATGAAGCATTCTTTATAAGGGTGTGGAAACCTCTCCCTAATAGACACGTTTTAAAACCGTGAGGCTAATGGCGATACGTAACGGGCTAAAGCGGACATTATCTGCTAGCGGTGGGCTTGGGCTGCTACAGATGGTATTAGAGCTAGACACCGGGCGGTGTGTTAGCAAGGATGCTAGCCCCCAAGGGGGATGGATTGTAAGATCCCACATCGGTTGAAGAGGAGAATGAAACATTCCTTATAAGGGTGTAGAAATATCTCCCTAGTAGACGCGTTTTAAAACCGTGAGGTTGACGGTGATACGTAACGGGCCAAAACGAACAATATCTGTTAGCGGTGATCTCGTCACGTGATTTTGAAATGGTTCTTGGGCAAAAGTTATATATCTGTCTCAGAGTTATGCTTTCTCGAATGTAATTTTATTTTTGTTTCTTCTCCTCCAACAGATCAACACTTTACTTGCATGTGGTGGCCTAGCAAAGAATTCATTGTTCATTCAAGAGCACGCCGATATTATTGGTTGCGCTTCACCTCCCCCTTTTCATCATATTTTCTTACATGTTCTTCTATTTCCATCATGAACAACTAAGCATTTTGGACTGCTCTTTTCTTTCCAGAGGTTGAAATAAGTCTAATATTACTGAAAGTGTAGGACGTCATTTAGGTTAGGAATCACGGATCTCCACAACTGTATGATTGTCCACTTTGAGCATAAGCTCTCGTAGCTTTGCTTTGGACTTTCCCAAAAGGCCTCATACCAATGTAGATGCATTATTTACTTATAAACTAGTTTATATTTTGAATTTTGGTGATCGTGAACAGGTTGTCCTATTATTTTACCCCGGGAAAACGAGTCGGTGCTGTTAGGAGCAGCAATTCTTGGAGCCGTGGCTAGTAGAAAGTATTCTACTCTTCAAGAGGCCATGAAATCCTTGAATGCTGCTGGCCAAGTATGCATAAACTGTTTCCTCATGATCATTCAGCTTAGCTTATTTGTTTTCTTTGAGTTAAGCATTGTTGGTTCAACTGGCAGGTGATTTATCCGTGTACAGAGCCAAAGGTGAAGGTATACCATGACGCTAAGTACCGTATTTTCGGAGAGCTTTACAAGCAACAGTTGTCTCATCGCTCCATAATGGCAGAAGCTCTGTCTTAGCTGGTGTCGCTCGGTATGGAATCACATACACTTTCATCTTGTTTATTCCATTTGTTTGTGCTCTTTGGTTTGTCTCGCTTGCTGCTTTGCTTCATCAGCTTCTATCTTTACCTTTTCTGGAATAAGGAAAACATTTCCACAGTCCTGATATTGGTTCTATATGTTGAAAAGCTCAAGTTTTTAGTCATACACATCTCTCTCTCTCTCTCTCTCTATATATATATATACACACACACATATATATACATATAATCGATGTATGTGCTACTGCCTATGGTTATTCTTTCATTGAAATGCTCTGAGACTCTCTCTCTCTCTCTATATATATATATGTGTGTGTGCGCGCGTGCTGCAGCCTATGATTCTTCTTTCATTGAAATGCTCTGTGACTCTCTTTTTATCTCTCTATGTATATACATACTTAGGATCAATTGATGTTTAAACCCTGGCTTGAATTGGGATTGCCCTCCTTGAGAAATTGATGTTTAAACATAGTAATAGCACACGAACGAGAAGAAAACAACAGCCTAGTAACCTAGAATTGAAGAGGATTGTCCAATTAAAGCGATGAAACATTGGCAGATTATGAACTGAAACATGAAACAAAATCTACCTTGTTGTGCATAAGAATGGCACATCCAGGCTCCAACTGGTCTTTATCGACAAATGACAAGATCCCCACATAGTACTCCGGACCAACAGACGACGACACAATCGCATGATTCCCGACACTCATCGGCGAGCCACGAAGGTCATCGACATTAGATCTATCTTCTTCATTCTTCTCTTCCTGAGGCTTAGTCGCTCTTGATTGGCAACGAACTCTTCCTCCATGAGCAAATGGTCCTTGACTCGCTCGAGCTTCAGAAGCCGGAGCTTGCACTTGGTGTGAGGGGTGACCGTCGGGAGGCGGTCGGCGGCGTCGGGATCCTTCTGTTTTCTCTGCTTGCGGCCGACGCGCGACAGAGGCGCCGCTGGCTCAAATTTCTTGTCCTTGTTGGGGTCATCGTGCTTCCGGTCACCGCGAAAACCCTCTTGGTGGTTGGTTCCGCCGGGATTGCCCTGACCCATTTTTGGTTAAGAGAGTGAGAAAAGAAAGTTGGAGAGGACTTAGGATAGTTTCCCACCATAACCTTAAAAGTCCGAGTTTTAGAGTATTTATTCAAGTCAAAATGAGGCATAAAAAAAGTTCGAGAGAATGGAGGTGACACGAGTATCAAAAAGCAAGCTCGAAAAGAGCTAGATAGACTCGGGTCATAATCTTAAAAGTCAGAGTTTCCCATATCAGGTATAAACAAAGTTGGAGAGAACGGAGACGACACGAGTATCGAAAACAAACTCAAAGAGACTTGGATAGTTTCTAGCCATAACCTTAAAAGTCGGAGTTTTAGAGTATTTATTCAAGTCAAAATGAGGCATAAACAAAGTTCTCGAATGGAGGTGACACAAGTATCGAAAAGCAAGCTCGAAAAAAGCTAAAAGTCAGAGTTTCGATATGAATTTTGACATGTGACTTTATAATTATGTTTGTCTACCAGATGAAAACTCACCGAAATAAATTTTAATTTAAAGCATTTAAATTAATATTTAATATATCAAAAAATATATTTAATTTTTTTTATATATTTGATTGAGATTTAAATTAATCAAAGGATAATATTTAATATATTAAATACTAATACAGAAAAATATATTTAATTTTAAACTATAAAAATATTCAATACTAAAAATAGAGATTCAAATTAATTAAAAATATAATATTAAATATATTAAATATTAATACAGAAAAATATATTTAATTTTAAACTTTAAAAATATATATTTGATTGAGATTCAAATTTAAAAATATGTATTTTTCAAATTAGTTAAAAATATAATATTTAATATATTAAATATTAACATAAAAAATATATTAAATATATTTAATTTTAAACTTTAAAAATATATATTTGATTAAGATTTAAATTAGTTAAAGATTTAAAAAGATTTTTCAGTACCTTTAAATAAAACTCTGGAAAAAAAATATATATATATTTCATTAGAAATCTCCTCCAAATTTTTTTTTTTTTTTTTTTTTTTTTTTTTGAGACTCTATATTAAGAATTTAAAGACTTATGGATACGATATCCATATGTTTTATTCTTGATAAAATCTAATCAGTTTCAATGCTTTCATGAATCGTTTATTTATTTTTATTTTTTTTCTATTTGGTTATTTGTATTACTTTATTGTATTAAAGCTAAGTATTTTTTTTCATCTCATCTCACGAACACTTCTAATATATTTTTTCATGCGATAGAATCATTGAGAATATTGACAATTTTCGTATGTATTGTTTAATGTAAGTTAGCGTTATGAACAACAGATCTTTCCAACATCTCTATATTCACTTAAAACGTCGTCTCATACTAATGAAGATATTGTCTTTTACATATTCATGATCTTTCTCTTTCATTGCTAATGTCGGCCTTCGATCGGGCTCTCAATAGTTAGGCCTAAATGTAATGACTATATTCCTTTTGAACGAGATTTTCTGGTAGATAAAAGTGATTTCATTAATTACTCTGACCCTCCTATTTACTAGACTCCGAAGAATTTCTATAATAAAACCACCCTCCTATTCACTATACTTGAAGAAATTCTTTTACTACCTTAAAAGAAAACAAGGGTATAGTCGGCAAAAAAAAAAAGATACGGGAATGATACTCGTCAATATACTTTTAAATGCCTAAATTTAGATCTCGTACTTAATCTTAAAATTATTTTATAATTTATATTAACTTTATTTTTATATATATAGTTTTTCAAAATTAAATTGGTTTAGGTATGTCCTCAAATGACCTAATAATCCGAACCCCTCGATTCCCCAACTCAAACCGTAATAGTTGAGTTGAGTCACTTTTTTTTTTTCTCAATTTGGGTTGAGTTAGATTTCCAGAGAACAAAAAATTTGGCACGGTTTGTGGGTTATGATGTTTTGGGTTGGTTCACCTCGGCCTAATAAATAGAGATTTAAATATATAACTTCGAGAAAACTAGGTATTGCATTCTGTTTTAGTTGAATAGTTCGAGACATTTATTTAAACTTTTAAATAAAATATTTATATATTAAAAAATTATTTTTTAAATATATTAACCTAATATTTGCATATATAATAATTTTTAAAATTAACCAGTGACTTAGTCTAGTTTTAGAGGATTCTATGAATTAGCATAATTCATAACGTTTTTATTCATTTGAGCTTAACTCGACTCAAATAAGTTCACGACCCAGTATGAATTGGGTTGAGTTGATTGAATTTTTTGGGTCATTAGGATTTTTAAACACCTCTAATCTTTGAGGAAAGCTCGTTTTGGCATCGGAGCTATAACTCGGGACATGGGAGAAGTGACAAAACTATAGAGAAGTAGGGAGATAGATGGGCAAAGATGAAAGGGAGAGTTGTAAATGATGAGGGCAAATATTGGAAGTCCTAAAATGGTGGGTGATGGGTAATGGGTAATTGTGTTGGCAATGGCAATAAGCCAAATTGAAGCCAAAAAGTGGTAAACAATGGCGATGGCAATGGCATATCCTTGGAGGAGATAAATAAGATGCTGATACGAATGCAAAAACCAGGTGGTGCCACGTGGGACGCTACCTGGCGAACAGGGATCGCATCTTCGCTTCGAACAACCATCCTTCTCTGAATCAGAGGAGAAAGGGGGGAAAAACAGCATCTATGGCGGTCGTCTTTTCCAATCCATTCCAATAATCTTCTCAGTTCAATCGTTATTTCATACTCCTTTCGTCTGGGGATGGTCACTCTCTACCTCGGACTCCCCAAATTCAGTACCCTGTAAGTTTTTTTTGTTCCTTTCCAAAGGAGGAGGATGATTATGCATTTTAGTTGTGAACGAATACTGTTTAGCATCGAATTCCCATGTGGGGTTGTTAGTTTTTCATTGCCCTAGTGCTGTTTGATTCGTTCTTCGACACCCATAATCCCCGCTTCTTTGTTACTTCGAGGATTTTAATGATCTTTTGATCTGTTTTTAGGATTTCTCCATTGTTTTTGGTTTCTGGGGTTCCTTGTAGGCGTTGTGTTTTAATGATTCTGGTCTTGTTTTGGTTGATTTGTTGCGATTTTTGTTTTTGAAGAAACCCTTTTAGAATTATTTTGTCGGGATTTTTTTTTACTTCCTGATGATTTATCAAATGGGTATTGAGAATCTGAAGAATTTGGGTCGTTGATGAGTTGATTTCTGGGTTGATTACGAATTTTTGGTTTGTGTTATTCTTGTGGTGTGTGATTTGAGTATACATGTTTGGGCAAGAGTAAGAATTGTATCGATTAGTGACATTCGAATATCAGGCTGTAAACAGATGGATAGCCCGACGACGACACCAAGCTCGGCTCCTAATTCGTCACCAGTCTCGAATCCTGGTTCGAATGATGAAACCCCGCGTGTTAAATTCCTGTGTAGTTTCTTGGGAAATATAATGCCTCGGCCCCAAGATAGTAAGCTTCGGTATGTTGGGGGTGAGACGAGGATTGTGAGCGTTCCAAGGGATACGGCATATGAGGAGTTGATGATTAAGATGAAGGAACTTTATGAAGGGGCTGCTGTATTGAAGTACCAGCAACCGGATGAGGATCTTGATGCTCTTGTGTCTGTTGTGAATGATGATGATGTGATTAACATGATGGAAGAGTATGATAAGGTGGGTTCGGGAGATGGGTTCACTAGGCTCAGGATATTCTTGTTTTCGCATCCCGATCAAGATGGTTCTTTGTCCTTTGTCGATGGCGATGAGAGGAATACCGAGAGACGATATGTGGATGCCCTTAATAATTCAAATGACATTAATGATTTTGTTAGACAGCAGCAGCCAGATTCCCCTGTAATCAATGGCATAGACGATGTGCACGGGTCAGAACATTTTTTGAATCCGTTGAATATCGAAGGTAGTCTTCACTCCCAGAGGAGTTGCGAGCCGTTGTCACAATATCACCTGCATCAGCTCACAATTCCTCATGTTGGATCTGGGCAGCAACAACAATCTGTAACTCAAAGGTATGGTGAAATGGAAGCTCCATGGAGTCCTGCTTTACTTTCACCCAGGCATCATGGTCCGTTTGATTCAAGACCAGTCAGCGAATATCCATCTTCTCCATCCGCACGGTACCGTATGCCATTCCCGGAGTTGCCAGATAAATATTTGGAAAGAATGCCTGAAGACTATGCGAGGCAGCAAATGACTCACCAACACATGTATGAACATCAACCGCTATATAACGAGAATGTTGTCTGGATGCCAAATGGAACAATTACTGAAAAGTCAGGTTTTCCGGGTAATATATTACATGGACATGGTGTTCCTGATGCGAATAGTTCTTGTGAAAAGTGCCGAGCCAATTTCCATCGGTATCAAACACCCATGGAGCAAGCTACGATGTTAAATGGACTTCCTCCTGAATACCCTCAGAATAGGGAGGCCCTGATGCAAAAAGCCGACATGAAGTTTCGTCATGGTAATTTCCCAAATGAGCAAAATATTAACGATCATCGACCTGCTTATAATGAGACACCTCCCCACGAGAGAGGATGGATTACGCAACATCAGATGAGTGTTCGGGGGGGTGACACGAGAGCACATGTTTCTGGAGTGGGACGATTGAATGATCACTACATTGTGGATGGTTCTGGTTCAAATTTTCCTCCTACACAAAGTAATGTAACTGATGGCTGCCATGCTTCCCCGAATTTTCATGATGAGGTGTTCCGTGACCCGGTTTTGCCTAGTGGACCGCATATGTGTGTTCCTCCTGCTGAAGATCGTGGTGTTGGCTATATGAATATGCCGTATGGATATGGAGGAGATCTTCCGATGGCACACAGGCAAATGCCGCCTGGAAATGCCTTATGGCGAAATGTTCAGAATCCATTGCATATTTCTCCCCCTTATGATGGACCCGTTTCCCTTCAGCACGGGAATGCTACTGTAAATCCGGGATATATCAGAGGCATGCAGGAGGGTAGTCCACGGATTCATATCGGTATGGACCACCAAAATCCTTGGAATGAATCCTCACAAAAAATGTTGGGTATCGACGGAGCAACTGGT